TAATTAGAAGCTTAATTTATAGATAAAAGATAAAAATGTTTCGATATCACTAATTTTAAAGCACCAAAATCAAGGTATGATATTTTTCTGGTTTAAATATCGTATGTCCGATGCATGGTTAATATTGTCCGATCCATGGTGAATTCTGACTTATTTCGAGAAAATCGGTTTTCAATGATATTTTCTCAATAAATAGGGCACGATTGTGTCAAAAATTTATGTTTTAACCACATACATGTACTACATGTTAAATTCCATTTTGATAATATTCGGTAGGTAGAGATATCGCTAGAACTTGATAAGTACGAGGGTGTCCGATGCATGGTGAATTCACCCTAAATCAGTTTACACCTCCCATTCAGAAAGACCCGTGCAGGCATCAGTGTTTTACCACGAGAAATTAAGGACCCTCTATACACTGATGAAAAATGTTTTTTGGACTTTGAGGAAATTATACAACATAAAGGAGGGTATTTTGAAATTAAGTGACTTATTTTTAATATAGGGAGCGTGCCTTTTTTATTCAGAAAAAATCTTCAAAGACAATGAAGTAATAGAAAAGAAAAATTGCCTTCGCTTATTCAAATGGATAAAATACATGCAAATAAAGTTTTCAAATACTCTACCTTGGTCTAAATAATGTTTAGAATACTTGGATTTATTTTAAATTATGTGATACAGTTCAGATTACAATTTATTCTACTTATATGTCAAATGGTGGGTCAGTCTAATTACAAAAAAGTACCCTGAAAATAAGGTGCAGTGTAGAGAGGGTCCTTAAGTTGAAATTAGTGGTCAGCAGATCTAGACAACTATGCAACACCATGCAGTATTCTGTAGGAGAATCCTCTTTGTGCGAAGCTTATTTATTATTGGATGGGGAACTAAAAGTTTTTTCTTTTTCTTTTCTTTTCTTTTATGGAAGTAATTCAATCTAGATACCGATGCGCGTAAATAAAACCAGAGGAAACAATCACATTGTCAATACGAGGGATGATCAAAACGTTCACGAACTATCTCCATATTTACAAAACAACAATTCAGATCAGAATGAAATTTGGCACACATGCCCTATAAAAAGCAGATGTTACGTAATGTTTTGCTCCATGTTTGTGACGTCACAAAATGAAAATGACGTCAATATGTAGATGACTTGTGACAAAAAAGGGTTGACTCAGTCGTACTCGAGCAACGAACAGCTGTAAAGTTTAACATATATCTTGGATATTCCTTTGCAGTAGGATATAATAATTTGTACAAGGTTTACGAAGCCAAATACTTTTCAGGAGTTCAATCATTAATTGGATTGATTTTTTTTAGTGAAGGAAGGGAGATGGTTAAAAATGATGTTTGTTTTGGTGCCCAGTGGAATTAAGCTGAGGAAGAGATATGTCCTTAGTTGAGCAATTTGTTATGAAAGATCGCCAAGTTACAGTTAGAAAATAGTTGAAAATCTTAAAAATAAAATAATTATCAAATCCCTAAAATATCGTTTACTTTAGACTTTAAACAAATCAGCTATATTTAAAAAAAAAACTTTATCCACAACTTTATCCATACTTTATCCACAGTAGATAAATGATGCGCCCAAGACAGAGGAGTCGGGTATGATGGTCGCCATGCTTATTCTGGGAAAAGATATCCTTATTCACCCATCCTATTGCCTAGATTTGGCCATTTGTGACAAACGGATTATTCTTGTTATAAAAAATAACTTGCCTGGTAAGAAATATAAGACTTAAAAATCTTTTAGCTTCTGTGATCAGAACGCTACGGAGCATGTCACGTGACCGCCTGGATCACCTGATTCGCGTATGGGCAGGACGGCGGCAGATGTGCATTAAAATCAGAGAGGACTACTTTAATAAATAATGAAACCTAATTTTATTTCTTTTATGGAAGTAATTCAATTATAGTTCGCCAACTTTTTGATCACCCCTCGTACAAACATTTCAAGTATACAGGCATTTACGTTCAAATATCATTCCTAGAATTCAACTTTTCTCTGACCACATTGGGCTTGATACAACACAGAGTTAGTCCCAAATCATGTCTTTATTATGAAAAAACAACATTAATAATGCTAAAAATTAATTAATTTAAAATCTTGGATATCATATGACATTTCTACACAATTCATGAGAATAACCGTAAAACATATGTGCAATAAAAATGACCTCCCAGTATGTGACTATTACATGACATATATTATATAGATTAGATTACTATTAGATAAAGCGCATTATGTAAAGTTACAGTGTTAGATAAACTAGATGAAATAAACATGATACTTAACTAAAGGGGCTTGGACACAGATTTGAAGTGAATATTTTCTAAAATTTTCAGCATTATAATATTTTGACTTATATGTTGCTAGAGCATTTCACCCGAGATTTAATAAAACCGTGTTTAGAAACTTCTTTTATCTGGAAATTATTAAAACTACGAATTTCGGGACACGTTTAATTGACACATATCCTTGCACTTTCACGAAGTAAACTTTATCCTTAACACATTAAAAAACGTAGAAATTTTGTTGTGTATTAATGAAAAATATTAGAACTATAATCCAGAAAATTGAGTTGAAATGTGAGAAAGCAAAAGCATCTCACAGTTGTCAGTCCTTTCTCAGTGATGTGTGCAGAGTAAACAAACTCAGTGATGTGTGCAGAGTAAACAAATTGAACACACCCGGTAAAACCCCAGTCACATTTCCAAAAACGACCAACGGCCCACGGTTTTTGAGGCAAAAATAAAATTATTTGGGCGACAGTCGGCTTTTCATCGGCCGTTGTCTTGCCCGATTTTGTCCTCTTTTTTCGTCGGCCAACCAATTTTGTGTCCATCGGGCCAAGTTGTATTTTTTTCTGCGTCGGTGGCCGATTCCTTCAATTGAGTCGGTCGTCGGTCGGTCGACATTTAGGAATTGGATGTTTGTAAATGTCAACGACAGTGAAAATCAAACTGCGCCTCAGCGTCGATGATCTGGCGACGATTGGCCGACTTATAAATATTTTAACTTTTATAGGCATCAGTGCTCCTAGAATTTATTGTGACCACTACGGGTTGCCCGATACTAGTGTCGGCCGATCATGTTTTTTCATACGATACGAGAAAAATTTGATCGCCCGACCATCGGCTTAAATGTAACCTACGTACAAAAATAAACATTAACAATAATAGAGCTCGTGTCCTGTTTACAAATCAAATATGGAAATACAAACACAGATGTTTGTCGTGATGTATAAAGAAGAATGTTATTGTCAATTAATTCTACGAATATTCATGTAAGTTCAATTCAATAAACGGAATTTATTTTCTTAATAAACACAGAAATTTAAAATGTAAACGATGCAACTGTGTCCAGGCCCTTTTAAAATAATTTTATTAACATAAAATAGCATTTAACACAAGGGGTATTTTCAATTACCCATAGTCATATTGTGGGAGAAATGAAAACCTGTATAAAAAAAACCTTCATATTAAAGTTCAACTTTTCTCCTAAATTATATAATCGTTTTCTATTTTTTACTTAAAAATATTAATACACAGTAGTTATTTTTAGCTCTCTTTATAATTTCATATTACTGTAGTAATAAGTATTTTGCAATGCATACTTGTAGAAGTCATCCGCGAATTATCTACATTTGTTCATATGAACATAGATATGAGAAAGATTTCTTTCCTCTTAATTAAGGATATAAATGCATGATTTTGCATGTACAACATATACTTTGTAAAGGACCTGGTATTATTTATTATAGTGACAGAAGTGTATAATTGTAAAACAAGATACATTCATACATATGGCCACTTTATGAAGTTGAACATCTTTCAGATGAAGTTTCTGATCACTACATGGGTCATATCAATTACATTTGGTCCAAACATACGCTGCACTTTACAAGGTAGGTAAATTAAGTCTTGCAGACGCACGCGTGTTGTTCATTCGTTTGATATGAGAATGTGCACGTAAATGTGTACTGGGGGAAATATATATTTTGATATAGACAGCAAATGTACATGTATACCGTTTAAACATTTATATTTGTGTTTTACAATGATCCCTTCTTACATATATGTTTTTTTTTATTTTTGAGCAGAAAAGAAGAAAAAAAATAAATTAAAAAAAATTGTGAGTTTATCAAAAACAAAATAAAAGATGCATAATTTCTTTATATTTGTTATAAAAGATACTTTTCCTTTACATCTGTTGATTACAACAGGCAGATATGAGACCATAAAAGGGGTGTCGATTTTCGTACAAAAGAAGAAAAAAATTTCAGGAACTTGGAGGCTACATGAATTTAATCTGTTCTCAGGCATCTTAATGTAGTAAATGCTAATGTTTGTTACAATGATATCTGGGGCAAGGATGGAACTAAAACGATGACTAGGAGTTTTACATACAAATCTATAGGACAAATCTTTAAAACGCCGATGCGGAAGACCGATAAGTCACGAGTTGTCAAGCTAACATGCAATCATTCCTTTTTACATGTCAATTAATCACTTTTCACTGGATATTAATTGAATCTAAAAAGGAATACAAATTTTCACATAAAAATGTAAAGGAACTTTAGAATAATCCTCATAGTAATACGTACAAGGCTATACATTGTAAAAATATGCAATCACCATTTAAAATTGTCCAAATCATGATTTGCCGGATCAATGTAGCAAAACAAGATACACTGTAAAAAAATATATATACGTACATGTAATATATGTATTTTTCTAGATGACTATAGGATTCCTATTTTTTTAATTTTAATGCAAGTGCATATTTTATGCTGGTTCACGAATTTTCAAACCATCTCAGGTCATGGAAGTGGCAAACAAAGATCTAGAAATTCACATTTTTACATTTTCTCTTCAAAAGAATCTTTAAAATTGTTTTATCAAGAAAACTGGCCTAAATTGTCAAAATTATCGATCTGCAACCATCGCACTGAAGCGCAAAAATAATTATATATTAAGGCCCATGGAGCCTAAGTAATATGAAGAGGGTATTTAACATTTTAAAAAAAAAATGCATCATAAATGAACATATTCCCTCTCATCTTCACTATTAATACTTCAGACTTTCTATAAGGTTAATCTACATAATTTTAGAAATACAAACTAAGGAATTGTCAGGCTTTAACAAGTTTTGTAGATAAAACCAAGCACAAAGTCAACAAATACGAGGTCAAAGGCCGAACAGAAAACAGTTGTAGCTATATTATGAAGTAGCTCCGTACAGGATTCATCAAATTAATTTTAAGTAATTTTTATGAAATCTATTATTGCTATCATCACCCTTTGTCATTAAAGCGATGGTAATTACAGAAATAACAAAACAACTGGGCATTTTATAAGTCTACACAACGTTTCATACGTTGAAAACAGGAAATCTGATTGATTGTATTTTTTTTCCAAACCGGAATCGAAACAGCAAACACACTTTAATTCCTACAAAAAATAATATTAAAAGAAATTATTCAATTTATAGTAAATGTAAACAAATTTCACTCCAATATCGGGTATGTTTAATTTGCCCTGAAGAATATTTCAAATACTGAAAGGGGTTTTAAATTATGTATAATTTTGTTTATTTTTCTTTACTTCGTACATATATGAAGTCCGTCTATGAATATTTCATATATAATTTATCAACGGTTTTCGAATTTGTCATTTAACAAGGGAGAATAAACAAACACTGCAAGTTATCTCCCAGAAAAAATATTAATAATCACAAAATATCGTCACTTACATAAACCTGCACTTACCAATTATATAGAATTGGTATAAAATTTTTATTTGATCTAAACACATAATTTTGCAGTTAGGGATCCAAAATGTAGATACAATGTCCACCTTCCGGAAGCTTCATGGCACACGGCATATGATGTATGCTCTTCGAGTAACAGGACATTAGCAACTATTACATCCCTAAATGAGATGTACCTTATAGATCTAGTTCTGGAAGAGGTTGATAATTTCCTTCAAGAATATCCCAGATTCAGGTATCTTTTATCTTCAATTAGCATGAAGGATACTGAGTATACGTAATTCAAGAATGAATATTATTTCTATTGCAATTCTTCTTGGATAGCCAAGCTATTTTATATCAAATGTCATCAACAATTAATTGAAATCATAACCCTAGTTTGATATTAAGACTATAATGACGAATTATGAAATATGGATTTTAAAGAGCCTTCACAGGAGCATGGATTGAAGCTTTTATGAGGTCTTCTAACAACGAAAGCATGCTAGAAAATTGTGAGCATCTTGATTCAGAAATTCCGATTAAGATAACAGGTGTAAGTCCGGGGGATATGTTTTGTCTTTACTACAATCGAATCGAGAGGACACTTGTTACAGAAAACTGTTCAACAGCAAAAATGTTTATCTGCGAAAAAAATGATGAAGGTATGTTTCATGTTTTTTATAAAATAAAATCATGTCTCTTTAATGCAAAAGAGTAAAAAAAAATCCATGTTAAAGGTACATGTACATGTATACGATAAATCAAGATGCTGTTTTACCTCATATATATATATATATATATATATATATATATATATATATATATATATATATATATATATATATATATATATATATATATATATATATATATATCTTTTAGACCTTGGGGAATGCTTAAGAGAGTCTTCAACATCAACATTACGAAGCAAAACCCCTAATTTTTGCCCAGGCAACAAGTTTACAAGCACCAGTGTAGAAAGCTGCGAATCAGCTTGTATGAAGTTTAAGGAATTTTATACATTTATATACAAAAATGGAATGTGTCAATGTTTTAAGTATGCAGATGACTCGTCTTGTTCGATGGGACGATTTCCACCGTCTTCACTTAAGCACAGAAGTAGGTATCATAGCATTTATTTCTGTACTACAGAAATTGATCAGTATGCAATATTCTTTAAAAGTACCCTGCCTAAATATCGTTATGCAATTTTTTCAGGTAAAGTTTCTGTTAATTACCTGATTATAATTAAGGACACCTTTGGAAATAAGCTTTTGAAAAAATGATTGCCTATCCTTGGGTAATATTTATCATCTGTATGTCATGTGTTTTATATAAATATATATACGAAAATAGATCTTAATCAAGTTGCAAAGTGCTGAGATATGTTTCATAGGTGTATTATCATGGCATTTTGTGATATTTTACCTGAAAAAATTTTTTAAAGATCATAAATAACATAATGAAGTATTTCCCTCTATGAGTGAGAGCTATACATGTGTAAATCATGGACAGAAGTGTATGAATGATAGCAATATATTTATATTCTCTGTGTATAGGAATAGTGGGCTCTCCTGCTTAATATTCATATCTATGAAGCTTGAAAACTGCGAGTTCTTAGCCATTATTCAAGACTTTAAAATCAAATTACGTTTCTTATATATTCAGTGAAACAATTTTCATTTAATTTGCATATCATTATTTTGAAATTTTAGGTTTGTTCCTATTCAACGCTTTCGACTATCCGGTATCAAAGGCTAAGCCGCTCTCAAGTTGGTGTCCAGGTATATGTATATCTAAAACAAAACTCGTTCACAAATTTGATAGGGCCAAAATTACACGGCCAAAGTAACCCTGTATACAGAAATCTTTGTAATATTCTTTTGTTCTAAATTTCTTACAGTTTTAATATGTAATATCAATTGTATTATTTGCATGGAACAATTCCTTCTTGACAGTTTTTTTTTCTTTATTTGGTGCATGCTTGTGTTAAGATATGTCTTGCAACACATGATTCAATGAATGTAAACTCAGTGTATATGCATTATAATTCACAGAAGTGACCAAAGAAGTTATTCAAGAGAAAATCGCGAACATTCAGAAGAATCTGACAGTCAATCGAAAAGAAACAAGTCAGTACATTCGGACTTTGACAAGTGCCCCGGATGAGAGACGCTCTTCGAAGAACATCGGAGTCGCAGGCGCATTTGTAATTGGTGCAGTGGGTGGTCTTTTTATCCTCTCTGACTGTATCAACATTATGAAAGGAATTCAAAATAGTCGTGTACGCGCCAGCAACCAATAACACTTAAATACTGAAATCAATCTTGTTGAAAATTGATATTTTGAATTTATATTTTGTGTTGAAATTCAAATTTACTACTTTCTGTATATAAATGAACACTTACTGGGTCTTTCAAAAGAATAATATTAAAAAAAATCGGAATGTTAAATTGTAAAGAGTTTCATTAAATCTGTAAATTTACACTTAAAATTGAAAATTTTACACTTTAATTTTTTACGTTTTTCGCTTTTTCTGTCGTCATTGAAGCTTATGTAAATTTCAGTCTTTAATATGTAAAATTTACAATTTTATCTGTAGAATTTACAATTAGTCTGTAAACTTAAGAATTTATTCTGTAAAATTGACAATTTAGTCAGTAAAGAATGAGTGCACTTTAGAGTGTCATTTGGAGCCTTTTCGGCCACCCATTTTAAGCCTTAAATTAGACTATATTGCTAAATTAATCTATGATTATTGCGCATACATATGCTTTTGATATTTATACTTCGATTTTTTTTGTTAGACATATTGCTATAATTCCACACAACGTCATTGAAAAGAACATGTATAAGCCTTAAATTCCGGAAATTTGAACTGGACCACATTCGAATTTAAGGTACCCGCAAATGGGCGGAGATATTTAAATCGCATGGAAGTAGAATGTAAACATTTGCACATTATTTCCAGATTGATTCTACAGTATGAATTTAAATGGAGGAGAGAAAGATTGTGTAGTTTCATGATTCACACAAATAATAAATGATTCATGGCCATTCATATTGATCATTTTCATGATTCGTATCCAAGTGTTTGATACCTAGCACCGAATTAGATCAATCTTAAGTTTTCGTTTATGATAAAAAAAAAATTGACCCCTCTTTTTTCTTTAGCTTTATCATTTTTCGTTTTATATGCTGCATGCTTTTCAATTCAAAGACTGAATGTAATACTATGTTTTAAGAAAGATTCACATTTACATGACTTCGATGTCACACTAAATTTAATCGTAATTCACTGTACATGTAGTACGTAGAGTAATACAAACGTGTTGTGAAACAAATTATACATGTATGTAGTACTCACGGTGATACATATTTTATTATATGCATGTATAGATAAATAACATTCGGAAATGAAATATAAAATTTTAACTTAAAATTTAAGAAACAAATTATACATGTATGTAGTACTCACGGTGATACATATTTTATTATATATGCATGTATAGATAAATAATATTCGGAAATGAAATATAAAATTTTAACTTAAAACTTAAGTCGCTAGGTTAACATGAAAACTCCAAGAAATACAAACTATCTGTAATTTAAATTAACATTTTATTGACGGAACAAGTATATTTCAGATTAAAAAAAACATGGTCAACGAAAATCCTACAACGTTACTACATGTATATCGATAATCACTCGCTTATGTCTTCAATATTTCTTTCATTTCGGCAATCCAAATATTGTCAGGTATGATACTAGTGTTTAGGGATGTGTCTGTAGATGCCTGCAGACCATAATACAGAAGCGACATGAGCTAACACAGCTACATACTAATCGTGCACTTGATTTGCACTGGCAATACCAGAATTTCCTTCAAAATACTAAACGAAAAACACAATTTAGTGAAGACAAGGTAAACTTTAAGACCCTAATAAAATTTTCGCAAAATTCTTCATTATTTTGAAGTTGTTAAGGCCGGTACAAACGTTGAGATTTGTAGTTACTGTATAATACAAGTATTATATTTGTATTATAATACTTTCCTGTACACACGTTTATACGTTTTATTAGATTGTTAATAGACTTTAGGGATTTCTACGTGTTTCCCTTGCAATATTTCTCTCTCTCTCTCTCTCTCTCTCTCTCTCTCTCTCTCTCAATAATGGAAAACGAGGTTCTGTTAGCAGTATCTGTTATCGTATTATGCATTGCATTAAAACTGAAAAAAAAACACTGTAATGGAAACAGCGGCGGAACACTCGTATATGTACTTGGTGCACACAATGCATCGCTAGATGAGGTGCAAAGAGAAAAACCCAATAGTTATAAAAACTTCTTTAGAATAGATAATGCAGCATTTGAGCAACTTTTACAATTACATGTAGTTACTCCTTTTGATCTTCTTCCCATAAAATAACGAGTTTTTCGATATTTTTACTGCTAAAGTCGACCATTATTTACCACGTGCTTTTTTTGGTTATGATAAAAATAGGATGACCACAGTGTGAGTACTTTTGATTGGTTTAAAAATGAAAGGTAAGTTAAGACTTGTATTAAGAAATAGAGCATTGCCCTATTCTTAATACAGTTTTATAAGATTCGAAAAATCTTAGGATTCACTGTATTAAAAGTCTATACATAGTCAGATTTTGTACTTAAATACATATCCGTGTATACAGCCCTGAAGTCCATTGACAGACACAATGAAAGCATATCGAACAGTGGAATGTCACGTGAGTAAAGTGATTATAATATCAAACAGGTCAAAATAGGTTGACACTCGGTGACCTGTTAATTTAGTAGCTAACCCGACCGTAGTTTGGAGAAGTTTTTTTTAAAAATACATATGAGCCGCAAATTGTCCAACATTGCTCTTTGGATATGTTTAAGTTTAAATCAAAAATACACATTCTGTGCAAATGAGAAGAATGGACAAGTTGCGGCTCGATGTAAACAATGTCGTTGAAAACTGGTATGCATATGAATAACAATAGAAATGTGACAAAACTGCTAGACCCCTGTCGCAAAAACCAGTGTCGCTCGGCATTATTTAATATTTTTATTTGATATAATAAATCAAACCCTGCTCTTAAGATATTGTTTAATAATTCTGATTCAAAAAGTTTATAAATTTCGGAAATTTATTATTGGCAAAGCACCGGGATCCAACTCTCATAGCTTAAGTGCACTGATCCTTTGAACTGTAAATTTTACAATTACATTATGTAATCTGTAGCTTTTACACTTTTAATTGTACAATTTACCCTTAATCTGGAAATCGAACACTTTAATTTATTTTGCAATTTCTCATCTTAATTTGTAAAAAAAAAAAAATAAAATCTATTAGTACGTAAATTTTACACAGTGCTCTATTTTGCTATATTTAATCACTTATCAGTTTGTATTAATTTAATGGTAATATTATGTTCTGTATATATATGGTATAGAAAATTAAAGGTTGACCGGTTCATGGCTTTTAATAGTACAATCTGGAATGTTATAAACAGATTACATAAAAATTTGTTATATTATAAATTACAATGGATCTTAAATCGGGGATCAAACATTACACAACAAACTAAAGGATTGTTTTAACAAAAAAATTAAATCATCTATTTAAAAAAGCCAGTCAGTGTAAGTTATAATGATACTGTTCCATCCCCTGATTACAGAAGCGTAAAGGGCTCTACACTTGTTGTGTTATAACTTGTATATTGTCTTTTATTACATTTTCAGCAGTGAAATACTGTGATTTATTTATTGAATAAAAGTGATATTCTCTCACAGTGTGAAAGGATACCAAAGTGATATTCTCTCACAGTGTGAAAGGATATCAAAGTAAGTAAAAAATAATTTCTGGCCTGTCATAAGATAAGATAGTAACTAAACCATCTTGATAGAGAGTTAGAGACTAAAACTGCCAATTTCCTCCCAAATATGTTGCTAAAATCCATTTTTTTCAGTCTCACAATTGCTAAGCTATGACATCTCAACTGCTCAACTATGATGTCACAGCCTATGACACTGTGTTAAGAAAAGACAGAGGTAAAGGGAAATTCAAAGAAAATGTAATAAACAGAAAATTCAATGTTTTGTAGTTGGAAATGGAATTTATTTCACTCGTGAGACAGGATTTATATTATATTACACTTGTTGTGTTATAACTTGTATATTGTCTTATATTTTATTGTCTTATCAACATATAAAATGTAATTACTCCTTATTCATACATACATTTTAAATTGTATTTAGATGTTTTTACATAATTTAAGGCACCTTCTTTTATTTAATTGATTTTATTGCTAGAAGTTTTATCGACTTAAAAAAAATATTGGTTTTAAGATATTGATTGAAGCAAGATATTTAATCATATCAATATAGAAATGTCGATCTGTAAATATAAATATGTAGTTATATCGATATAAATGAATGAATATTTCCGAGAAAAAGTGAGAAAATATTGTTATAGAATTAACTTCGCGGGGCGGGAATTCTAATGAATCTTCACTTTACTCGGGATTCAGTGAAAGCTCCTGTACCTTGTATTTGCTATCGTATTCGATTATAGGCTGGTACAGATTCAAAAATATTTTTAAAAAAGTAGATGGAGAGAAATCAACAGTTAGATCATAGGCATAGTCATAGGGGGCTATATATTGTACTATATTGTACTATAAGAAGAGGGGGAGAGGCAAGGGTATCTTTGTGCCCCACCTCCAGCTTTTTTTTAAAACCTGAGCATAGTAGAGATCCGCTGATATATTCCAATAATAAAGAAGTTACCCGCAGATGGATAACTAAATCTCGGGGGGGGGGGGGGATATTTTATTTGGCTGACCCCACGCTTTCCCTCTTTTAGCTCTGTGACTAAGTTTATGCAGATTGGCTGCAAAGAAGCACACATTATTTTATATTATTTTAATTAATAAGAAGTTACATGTAGATCTGATGTGCTGATAGTCAATTTTTATGTTATATATATATTCTATCATGATTCACTGCTTATTTATTTATTTTTTTTATTTTTTTTATTTTTTTTTTTTTTTGAGTTCGGGGGGGGGGGGGGGGGGGGCACTGTGGAGATTCACTTCTATGTGGCACATCCTATGTTTACCACTGAGTGATAAAACATCAAGTACATAGCCAGTGTCACTTTTATAATATTTTACCTTCTACTTTCGGCTTCATCCACAAATAGGACAAGTACTAAATGTACTAATGAATAGAACATTGAAACGATGGGAAAGGGGGGACCTGTCCTTAATTATTTTAGTCACAGTATATTTGTTATGCATACTTTGCTAGCATATATTTTTTTATTTCAAAGAGAATTTAATGATTTTGATTTATTTATAAGAAAAAAATAATAAATTATTACTAGACATGCATATACTAGTAGATTTCATTTCTTATTAATCAGAATGATTTGATTATAATTGATATTTGCTTCAATGGGGACAATCTAACTGATCACCTCCCTCTCATTCCCTTCTTCTTTAATTTTTTTTCTCTATAACCATACTACAAATATTAAACAGTTTACACATGACACCGTGACATTGTGTATGTGCCGTCAATAAATCTGAGAGATGTGACGTTTCATTAAAATTCCCTCTCCCGCCAAGTTAATTGGAGAACTTTTCCCTTAGAAAAACTAGCATATTTATATCAATTTAACTCTTATGCATATATTTTTATTGTGTGTGCTTAAATCAATATTTTTCATATCGATATTTTTTAAGTCGATATAACTTTCAACAATAAAATCCATCACACAGAAAAGACGCTTTAAATCATAGGAAAATACCCAGATACAAAACAACATCTGAATGAAAAGAAGTAAAGAAAAAAAAACATCGTGGCGTGAATTTCTGATAACTTATAATTTGATGGTATCATCCCGTTGGGTTTAATTAAATCATATACATGTGAATAGGGACAGTATCTTAATTTCATTATTCGAGAGCGTTTTTTTTTAAAAAAAAAAACTTTTCAGCAACATCCCAAATAATTTACAGCCTTTATGACGTCACAACTGACGTGCTACTAGTAACGTCATATATAATGACCTAGGGCGCTTTCCATTAACGTTGCCTTCCCGGCGACGTCATCTGGAAACGGTGACGTTAATGGAACGGTTGGTAACGTCACAATTACCAAATATGGAGGACTACGAATTAAAACGAAGCACTCGCATATTAAAAATATTTCTGCTTCAAGTATTTGAAGACAGTGACATGAATGATTGTGACGACGATGTTACGCCAGATGTTATTCGTCGTTTATTGACAGAAAAAAGAAGCCGACAGCGTATTGCTGAATATTTTAACGTTACCGTACCAGCATACTCCCCAGATGAGTTCTCCTCACATTTTCGAATGCGTAGAGAGACTTTCGAGGAAGTCTGTAGACAGGTATGTTTTAAATTATTAATAAATAACATAAGAAAATGCACCTTTTCATAATAAGATTAGAATTTTATAACTCTGTAAATTCTTTGTTCGATATGTTATTATAATTTTAAGGACTATTCACAAAATCTTCTATGTAAAAAAAAAAAATTTAAAATTGCGCTCCTTTTAGAGTACCATAGAAGAGCAGAATTACAAGCACTACATATATTTTAAATTAACTGAATTAAAATTAAATTTTCAATATCATGTTATGTTTATTCGAATAAAGAAACGGGTTGATTTTTATGAGGATTATTTACACTTTGATTATATTTAAGTTTATACACGAACACGGCGGCGTATATTGATAAATTTAATTATTCAATTGCTGCATTTCAGTTTTGAACACGCTATAATTATGAATAAATATTTAACCCCCCCCCCCCCTAAAAAAGTGAAATGTACATATGTTATTAAAAAAAAATGAATATCCGGTTATGGAATTCGTGTATGGTTTATGTGTACAAATACGGTGGAGGGGGGGGGGGGGGGTACGCGCAAACATTATCCAATATATCATCGAAGTGTATACTCTATTTATTGAATCAACAGATACTGTCAACAGGCCACATTCCAAAAGAACAGGTTCATGGCAGAGAAATCATCGAACCTTCCAAACAAATAATGATTTCGATATGGATGCTGGCCAACATGGAAGGGTACAGGCAAATAAGTGACAGATTTAACGTCACTTATTCTTCTGTGTACAGATGCTTCATGCGGACTTGTACAGCTCTACAATGCCTGTCTGCAGAAAAAATCAAGTGGCCTACTGGTTAGTGCATTTGTGTGTGTGTGTGTGTGTAATAAAAAGTGTTCATTTATAAGCTTAATTCACTTTCAATTTTTTTAATAAGGGGGGGGGGGCCAAGCAAAAATTCCTCACAAAAATATGGCATTATTATTTAGGGGACATAATGAAAAAGCAGCTTTCTTTTCTGTAGTATATACAATATATCTAAAAATTATAACGTCTTTATACCATGATCTGCATTCATTCATATATATATATATATATATATATATATATATATATATATTATATATATTATATATATATATATATATATATATATATATATATATATATATATATATATATATATATATATATCTCATTTGAATAATTCAGTAAAAAAAAAAACAACCTGGAATTTATATCGTTACAGGTGCTAGGGCAAATGAAGTCATTGAAGGCTTTGAAAAGATCATGGGTTTCCCTCGAGTTTTAGGGGCTGTCGACGGATGCCACATACAGATAAGAGCTCCACAAGAAAAATACCATCCCATGTCTTATCTGAACAGGAAACGGGACTATTCGGTTATATTACAGGTGAACATACAATTCGGTTTAAAAATACTATAAGGCAAACAACAGCACTTCTTAATCGCCTCCATGATTCCTGTGATTTAATTCATTCATTTACTTTTTAGGCTGTATGTGATCATACTTTACGGTTCACGGACATTCTATCCGGATGGCCTGGGTCAGTACATGACGCAAGAGTCTTCAAAAATTCACCCCTTTATGAAGCCAGCTGCAGTGAAAACCTTTTTCCTGGCGATACACATATTGTTGGAGATGCAGCATATCCACTGCAAAGGTTAATAAAAATTGACATTTATTCAAAGAAATGGGCAGATTATACTTTTTTGAAAACCATGTACATCATTTATGTTCAAGTTATTTGTATTACATTTCAGTTGGGTTTTAACACCGTATAAAGATACGGGGAATCTGGCAGAGTGTCAGAAAAGATATAACTTCATACATGCCAACACTCGTCAAACGATTGAAAGAGCCTTTGGTTTGTTGAAAGGAAAATGGAGGAGGCTGAGATTCCTGGAAATGACCAAACTTGAAGATGTCCCAAGTGTTATAACAGCAGCCTGTACACTTCACAATATGTGCATAGAGGTATCCCCCCCCCCCCAAACTTTGAAAAAAAAAATTCGTGAATTTTGGCGTACGAAACACATGTAAAAATGAATCTTGCTCTTACTTGATTTCTTTTTTTTTTTTACAGAACAATGAGAATGACCTGGACATGTGCAGTGATACCAGTATCTTTCCTGATGCTCCAGCTGTGAGTGAGCCTTTGAACCAGAGTGGATCAGTAAAACGGAATGCCCTAGCCCAGTATTTCTGGTCTACCAACCGATATTAAATTCAACGAAATAAAGAAAACAATGCTAAATTTACAAATGTTTCCTTTTTTATTACAATTTAAGAAAAAAGCTTTTTATGTAACATTTACATTAAAACTTTTCCATAATCAGGATGATGCCTCCTGAAATTGTAGCTATTAAGTTAAATCCAATCCAATTTTTGGGTTGAAAAATCCTTAATTATCATCAATGAATGCATATACATACATGTATCAATGAACAACTAATAGTAGATTAACATCAATATTTACATGTGTTGACGTAAATTGAATGGACTTGTCTACACTATCAATAAACAATGGGTAATTATTGGGTAACAACTTCAATACTCACATGCCTCTAGACCATAAACTACTTACATACTAAGGTCAAAATTTCAAATTAATGTACCTACTTGAACAATAAAAAATGATTTGTTTGATGTACAACCTGTCACAAATATTATCTGTATAACAGTCCTTCGCATAATGAAAACATTAATAAATTATTTAAAGTGTGAGTTTTAAGATAATTATCAAAAGTACTTGTAACTTAAAAAGAAAAAAAAAACAAAACTATCTACCAACACACCTTGAAAAATGATGGTCAGAGTACAATATAAAAATATGGATGGCTCTTGATGCATGAAAACATAACAAAATTTTCAGTATGTCTTTGTTTTTGAATATTACACAAAATTGCATTGTTTTGAAGAAGTGAGATAAACATTCTCTTCAGGTCTAAAGACCATAAACCGAGAATATAAACTTTAGTCAAAATTTCAAACCAATATATCTTTTGAAATAATTTTGATAATGAAACAAATGAAGCAAAATATTCAACATATGTTTGAATTAAAATGTTAGACAAAATTGAAAATTTTTAAGCAAATACATTCAATAAAACTAAAAATATTAAAAAGCAAACTTTTGACTTTGATCAATTCTCAATTTATGGTCTTGGGGTCATGTATTTACTTATTTGATCTATGATATCAGAAAACACAATAAACTTATTTTTCAAGCAAAGACACTAATTTCTCCATAAGCACCAGCTTTCTTTCATTCACTCTCATCTGCTCCTCCTGAAACTTTCTCCTGTCATCCCTCACCTCAGTCAACAAATCTATCAACTCATCCTCCCTCTTACGCTTAGACACGTTCTTCACTTTCTCACACCCTACTTTAACACTCACTCTCTCATGCCCCTCCCCTTTCTCCCCCTTCTCACCACTAATAATCCTTAACCCCTTACCCACACCAACAGATACTGTTTTTAATGGCGTTATTTTTGGATCATCACCCATAACCTCCGTCATTTCTTCATAGAACTCCATGGACCGCCGTCTCTCACCAGACTTCTTATTCGCATCCTCTACTGCCTTATACTTGGCAGTAAGCTTGTTGAATTTTGATTGACACTGAAGCCAGTCACCAGTAAACCCATACTCTTCCTTCAATTTGGCTGCAATTTCTTTCCATAGAGCTTTATGGGTCTTCTTCTTTGAGGCAAACTCTGCATCCAACTCGCCTCTTAAATTGATGAGGCCTTTCGTGAGACAGTTGGTCCACGTTTGCTTTTCATCTACAAAATAGACAATTTTATAATCTCTTATAATGCGTGAAAATTAAATTCAACAAGCAAATTCAAAGAATTGTGCTCCCCCGCTTTCGGTGTCTTAGTAGATGGGATGCTGTTATTTATGTCATATCGTGTCAAATATGAACGCCCTATCATATGTCATTCTAAAGTAATCACCAAAGTTAACATTTTTGAAAATTAGGGCAAACATGATAGTCAAGGTCAAGGGGCAAAAAATCATAGCGTGCTTGGAAACTTTTTGTCACCAGTAGTGTACTTGTCAAATATGAAAGCTCCATCTCTTCTCAATCAAAATTATAAGAAAAGATAACATTTTGAAAAGTAGGTCAAACATCACTGTCAAGGTAGCTGGGTCAAAAATCACGGTATATTTAGAAAGGTTTTACCACAGGTAATACAGTGTATACATTTGTAATATGAAAGCCCTATCTTTTATCAATAGTTATGACCAAGGTCAAAGATTTTAAGACAGACGGACTAACTGACAGACGGACAGGCTGACAGACGAATGCGATTTAATGTCCCCTTGCTTTAGCGAAAGGGGGGGGGGGAGGGGACAATGATATCAGTGAGAAAGAAAATATCATATTAATAGTATATGTACTGATATAAATAGAAGAGTCCAAATTTAGTGCCTAAAACTCTGTCCCAGGGGGCATGGAATATACAATTTATTTAGGAAGCTGTATGTTTTCTTTTTAAATATGGAATCCATTAAGTTTTCATTCTGTACAAACAGATTTCAAAAGCATTTTTCAAAATTTTATCTAACAGATTGTACAACAAGAAATGATGTACCTTGCACAGGTGTGGCAGGAGAAATTTCTGTGACAGTTGTTTCATTTTCTTCCCCTATTGATACAAAAAATATTTATTAGAAATTTATATGCTATCTAATAAAAATGCAATCTATTCTGATCATTTCATTCAACTTTCAATGGCATACATGTTTGTTAATTAATTATTGAATTATTAGGAATTCATATAATGAATACATGGCAAAATTTTATAATTCAGTAATTGGTAAACAACACATGTATCAATTATTGTGCACACTTTTGGCATGAGTTACTTTTTTTTTTTTTAATAAATTGAGAATATATTCTCTGAACACTTATTTAGAATTGCAAAACAATGTATATTAAGGACAAATAACACAAACAAACTTTTTTCAGAAATCAGCAATATTTCTCATAGATTAATATTCAAATAGGTAACCTGAATGATATTCCCTGGGTAAAGTGGAAGAATTTTGTAAGATTTTGTCACAATGTCAAAAATACCTGCAAAATTTTGTATAGAGTTTCATAGAAAACGATACAAAGTTGCTTACACATGTATAAGCACCAAAGAAAACTTACAATTTCTTTATATTTTAGGGATTGATTATTTATGTTATTTCCATTCATAATCAGTCAAAAAATATATATGACTGTCGTCATGAGAAAAGGGCCCTTAAGGTCAAAATTTCACAAAATGACTTTTTGGTAAATTTTGATAGCCTGACTCTTTCTGAATGCAAAAATACATTACCTTTAAAAATACCTTATTTTTTCACTATTTTATTATCATTTTAGTAAGGCGCATCAAAACAACGTTGACGTTATTCCATGAAGACGTAATGACGTCGCGAGCGTAAAATTGGGTTTTAAAATAAACTTAATAATACGTATAAACTCTAGCCGTAATTTGATTTCTTCTTCCAAGTTACTAGTTTGTCAATATAAACCCTGAAGTTGCCTTTGATCTAACATGTTTACAATTCTAGAGGCAGATCCAGTTACATGGATTTGGAAGGAGGGAGGGGGGGGGGGCTAGACAGGCTCTAGAAAAGGATTATGTTCATTCGAAAATAAAATGCATGTACTGTACAATTCCATACTAGGCATTCTATTCTAGCTCAATTAAAGAATATATAAAGCACTTGTACATTAAAATATAAAAAAAATCTACACAGATCTGGAGTAAGGGAAGATCCAACCCAAACAAAACCTCGCGTATTCTCTGTATCAGACATGAATTCTAATGGACAAAATATCACGTCATGATATGTAAAATTGTTTCCAAAACGGTTTATCCGTAGTACGTGAAAATCATATATTAAAATATTTGTTTTCTATTTAAAATTCCAAGCGCATTTTCTTTTGTATACGCTGAAAAAAAAAATTAAATTTTCATTGTTCACACAATTTTGTTTCTGCGCCTGCCTTAGTTACTGATGGAGTAGACACAGAAAATATAGAGGCACAAAATCAGGTCTTAGGATTGTCTCATAAAAGTTTAGCCCCTGTATGAAAATTGATACGTTTATCAACTTATTTCTCTTTACAAGTAAATCATATGTTATCAAAAGCTGCTATAAATGCCTCTGTCCTTTATTTTCTTTCTTTCTTTACCTATGCTATCTTTAATCATTACTGTGAAATTTCAAATCTTTTCCTCTTCTTGACGTTACTAACATTTGTACACAACAAATCAAACATTTGTAAAAAGGGCCGCTACTGTAATCTCAAAATGAAGTTTCTGTAATAAACGTTTCTAAATGCGATCATATATTAATTCTAATTCTTACCTGCCGAACATAGAAAAAATTGTCGGCAATCACCTGTAATGTTTTAGCTAATAAACGCTGAAAGGTGTGCGCGTGTGCGTGCGTATTTTTGATCCATTTCTTAATTTCATTTATTCACAAAAATTAAATTCTTCCTTACATATTTCACAAGCATCAAAATTTTAAAAGAAGAAACAACAGAATTTATTAAACCTCATTATAATTGTTCTATATAAGCGTTATCTGATTGGTTTCAGACAGCCAAGTGACAAGGCCATAAATTTTTATATATCCCTGTCATCGTCATGCTTTTTGTCAACAAATTCCACTCGGGAAATATGATTTTTCTTCACTGAATAAATTCTCATATTTCTCAGATGAAATAAAAGTAGAATGCATGCTAGGAATTCATCGTTTGCAATTTTTTGAGCTGGCAAATGAAATATAGTAGTACACAGAAAGAAACAAATATAAAGCTATATTTTCAATAGTTCTTCTTGTAACTCTCCGGTTGTCTATTCTAATTTCTTCGTGCAGATCAACGAGCTACAGACCAGCAGCTACAAAGTTGTATGTGAAAACTCGTCTCCCTTTTCGCGCAAAACATTACCGGTTCTCTTAATTTTTTTTTTTATTTTTCCAATGATGTAGATTTCTTGATCAAAGGCAGATCCAGCGCCGGGCGTGCGCCCCCCCCCCCCCCCCCGTTTGAAATTTTTTTAAAAAAAATTTGTTTGTGTTATCCTAAAATCAAGGGAAAAAACAACTCTTCTTTGTTAGAATTCGTCAGTTTCCGGGGGATATTCGCCCCCGGACCCCAGCAGGGCCTTGCTCTGCACCCGCTGGAGGCTTCAATGCAGCCCCCAGAGCCCCTGCCTTCTTCTGCGCCTCCTGTTATGAAATTTCTGGATCTGCCGCTGTTGATTGTCTTTGTTGAGCTTGCGGTTGATGCTAAAATTGACAATTTGAGAATTTTTATATCATTTTGAATGACACCCACGACCACTTAAGCTTGTTACTAGTACTTTTTCTATTTCCAAAGGTTGTCGTCATATCGCCATTTATCCGAAGTAAATTTCTTGAAAACTAATCTATGGTTTCTTCTGTTTCAAACATTTTTTCAAGAATAAAACTACTATCGAAGTGACTGTTGTTTACTTACTCGATTTCAAAACTTACATATTTACTAAAGACATACGCAAATCACTTTTCTTTGATCCTTACAGTATAATCAAAGGGGAGAGGGACCCCCCCCCACCCCCAAATTTTTCCCGGAGAATATTCTCATACTGATAATTATTTATGAAAAGGCCTTTTGCCGCATACACACCCCTTCCATTGTTGTGATAGGAACATCAAATTTCCCATATTACAGTACCTATACCTTTGGAGACTTTTTTGGTTTGTTAATTATACCCCCCCCCCTCCCATCTCAACTTGGAAAACGACGCCACACACTTGAACTGATCTTACTGTGCTTATTGATATGATGAGCAATGGAATAAAAATAAAATATGTCATAACATTATTACAATATATTTTTCCAAATGAAAGAAGCATTTTACTTTTAAACAACGCATACATGTATATGTGCATTGAGTGCCCCCCCCCCCCTCTCTCCCTCTGAAAAAAATATAAATGTATGTACTAACTACCCATCAGTACTAAGACTAATTAATACATCAATGTATAAGTCGAATATAAGCATTTTCAAATAGCTCAGTCAAAAAAAGAAAAAAAATATATACATACTAGTATATATCTGTAGCCTTGCTTCATATATAGACGTCGCTTTTAATCGCTCTATCTGATAATGCGTTCAACATAACGTTTGGATTATGTTATACAGAATATTTACACAGAAACCTGAATAAATACATGTACTAAATGGTAAAAATGTTATTTATTAAAATTTTCCGCTTCAAAATTCGTATGATTCTATTTTTTCACACCAGGAAATCCAGGTTTTTTTTTTTCATTTTATCTACACGTGTATTTCTACAAAAACGCAGTCAACAAAATTTACTTCCGTGACTTTGACGTCGTTTTCTGAGCATTGTGACGTCAAAAGATAAGGGCCCTTTTCTCATGACGGCAGTCATATATATATCAATCCATGCATCAAATTCTTGTTTGTGGTATGTACCCTTAAGTCAATTAACATGACTCTTAAATCATAAATTAAAAGAATAATTTTGAGGCATTACACCAAAATCCTTCCCGCATGTATAAAGATTTCTTTACTTAGTTACCATGTGCAATTGCCACAGTGCTTGTTGCAGCTTTATGCATCGACTGACAAGCAGCCCCCTGACCATGATAAGGTTCTTCTTCCCTGCAAATATTTTGAAAACTAGAGTGGTATTAAAAAATTTTGAACCTTCTAAATTCTGGTTATCCGTAGCAGTGTTTATTTCTTATCATTCTTATTGCTGCACAAAATTTCATATCTTAAATAAAACATCAATGAAAATCTGCATACTAATGACAACATATACAAAATAATTAAAATTTAATTTAATATATTATGATTATTTTATTTTACAATGTGAACATACCTTTTCCATTTGAAGTGTGTGAACTTTTACTTACTTTGTACTTACAGTTATTGTGAAAAAAAATGTTAACTCGTCAAGACTTTAACGTAAAATACCTATACACAGTAGCCATGTTATCCTTAAGAATAAGGGGTTGTACTGGCGAATTTACTGGACAGTTATGTTGATTAAAGTGAGCTAACGAAAGAAATAACGAGTTGCATCCAGGACAATGCAGTAGCTCCAGAGACGCCATCGTCAACAAACAGATAAAATGTAAAAGACAAGATCTTCTTAATCCAGACAGGTGATATGACGCAATAAGCAGTCAAATATGACGTAAAAAGGTGGGAATACTTACCATGCGTTTTGCGTTTACTTACCAAAGGATATAAATAAACAACCGTTTACTCTATATGTGGAGAAAATTCGGGGTGGTTGTACTTTACAGGTTGAATTTAAAAAAATCATATATAATTAACTATGAAACGGATACTTATCTTGAAATGTGTTGGTAGGTGTTCTCCAGAACTAATTTTTATGCATTGATGTTGTTATTGAGCATATTATGACCCATCTTAGGAAAAATCGCCGTTTTGTAGTATCTGTAAATCTCTTCTTGATGACTCGACGCCATATTGTTTCCTAATCGGCAATGGTAAAATACGTGACCGCAATTGCCAGCCGGCAACGCGCGTTCCATTATCCGACGTCGACGGCAACACCGGCAAATCCGGCGTTGCCTGTTTAATGGAAAGCGCCCCTAGTCATAGTAAAAACCACTAAGTTTTTCCAGATATTTATATCAGATCATGTATATAATTGACTCTTTTTCACATTTAGCGTTTTAATGAACAATAGACTGATTTTCTAGCAAATTTTGTGAAATCTATAATTTTTTTATTATTACATGAATTGAATGTAAACAATTGATCCACAAATTAGTGATTATTTGATCCATCAAAATTTAAATATAAAATTAAATTTCGAATTGGCCACAGCCACGAACAACAACGATAATAAACATGAAGATTTGTATTGGCAATATCTATATCTATGGGAAGTATAAAAGTTGTTCTTGACTGTGGCCACATCTAACTTTGGGAAAATCTGTCGAAAAAAACTGCATATTTTAACGTTTTCATGAAACCGTCGCATTTTCCAACCGTTGCACGTGTTTAACGGCGCATTATATAACGAAGTAAGTTATGTTTGGAAAAGAGGAATGTTGTCCTCTAACATTTAACGTATAGTACTCTTCTTGAACCGAAACTTTTTTTTTTGTGAAAAACACAGGGCCAAATATGATGGTTCGTGGCTTTAGCTCAAAGACCGAAGACAAATATACAGAAACTTATGATCGCCTCATGTTGTTGTGTTATACCTTAAAATTGCGAAATAGAATTAGTGTCATCTTCAAATGGAATGTATATAACGTCAAAATTTTGTCAACTTGTACAATGAGATCACAAAAAAATGACATACTCTGGCTGATTTAACTGCCCTGTTCAAGCTTTCTTATAATTTTTGCGTAATATTTGTCGCAATAAAAAAAATGCATAGAAATAATCCTATTATTTTATATATTCCGAATTAATATTGTCGATTTGATCATGCCATTTGTTAGGCTTTAACGTCCATATTTGATAATTCCCTTCCTGTTAACAAGGAATACCAGTTCAATTTTATCGTCTTAAAGGGGCAAGATCAAAATTCAACGTCTGACAAAAGACTAAATTCTCGTTGTTTTTATCATCAATCCCTCCTTCCCCTCAATAATAAATATGATGAAATCCAAGAACTCATACTGTACTTATCACTTAATAATTTAATTTCGTTTGTATACTAGCCTCTGATTGGTTAATATCCAAAAAGGAACACAAATTATTTCTGTATAACCTGGTTTGGTATGGGGACACACCCCCCTGACAACCAGCTGAATCACCTGTATCCATACAATCCTCTCATTTCCAGTCCTCGGGATTCATGGAAAATTCCAGATTTAATAAATGTACCTTTAATTTCAAACAATAATTCGATCTTACCACATGTAACCAAACAACATGGCTGCTATGCCTATGTATCAGTTTTTACCTCCCCTCGATTCCCATCACTTCCGTTACTTCCGTTACTATGGTTGTATTATTGAGCGCAAATTTGAACTAATAAAAAGTAACGAAATTTTAAACCCATAGTTATTTAATGATTTTAAAATTAAATTATAAGGAATGACTCTAATTCTTGGCCAAATTATTCGAGTATAACCTGGTTTGGGTCAGTTTACGCTGTTTTATAATCCGCTTCGCGGATTATAAAGCGTAAACTGACCCAAACCAGGTTATACTCGAATAATTTGGCAAAGAATTAGAGTCATTCCTAAAATAATTTATATATTATAATTTCTTTTGTTTATTAAAAGAAAGAAACATTTTAATTTACCAATTTGGCATTAAATCTCATGGACAATATGTATTTTTGCGTTATTATCAATGTGGTAGAATAAAAAATTTTGGGACTCTTTATTCTACGAAAGCAACAATAAAAAGGTGAAGGTCAGCAGGCTGAAATGTAGTGCATGTAGGAAATTCACATGCCTCATTTGACAATAGTAAAAACATTTGACATGTTTGTGATCCTTCTTGGGTATAGAATGAAAGTTTAATATCTAAAGTTTACAATATGATACGCATTAATTAAGGTGTATTTCAAGCATAAATTAGGCATAGAAATGTGCATTGTATTGTGAGACAGATTTTTGATATTTTCACTCGTGCTTCGCACTCATGAAAATATATAAAAAAAAAATTCTGTCCCACTCGTGAAATAAATTCCATATTAAGGAAAAAACATTGAATATCCTCTATTTATTCACACCCCAAAAAATCATCAATCTCTTCTTGAAATAAAACTTTTATGCTTGCAAAGTATATATAATAAATATTGTGATGAGGAAAATAATTAACGACATTGCTTCAATGCTGTATTAATAACATTCATGTAGTATTAGGCCTATTCAATGATCAATCCTAAGTAAAAAGATTATAAAAGTAAATTGGCTTTGTAAAAATCTGTAAACTTTTTTTGTTTTGTAAACTCTGGTATTATGTTTTGTCACCATGTGATAAACCTAGGATCCGCCAAATAGACGTGAATCTCAAATAGGTCAACGTGAATCTCCACAGCTTGGACACCCCCCCCCCCCCCCCCCGCAAAAATATAAACAGTGAATCATACATGTAGATAGAATGTCAATATCAGCAGATCAGATATAACGTCTTATTACTTAGAAGGATGTTATATCATTTTTGCTTAATCATTCCTCATCATCGTGGACAATCTGCATAAGCTTAGTCACAAAGTTCAAGGTGGGAAGGGGGGGGGGGGTAAACCAAGTAAAATATATGACAAGCAAAAAAAAAGAGATTTGATAATCCAACTTCGAGTATTCACCATTATTCTCAGGAGATATTTACTCAGGTAAAAAAAATCTGGAGGAAGGGGCACAAAGATACTCTTGACCGCCCCCTTTTTAAAAGTGGTGGTGGGACCATTATCCCCCCTATTACACACCTATGATCTAACTGCTGATGTCTCACCATCCCCCTTCTTCAAAACATTTCTGAATCTCAAAAATAACATATGTATCACACTGTAATCGTATATTATATGTTGCATAAACGCCTGCGATATTTTGCACTTATATTGTCTCTGATATTTAATTTTAACGGTATAGAAATTGATATATGAAAGTGTATAAGTCGCCCAAAACATGTCGAAATAGTGTCATTCATCAGAAAAAGTTGTCATAAATAAATTGCCAAAGTTCGAAGCAAGTATATTTGGCAATATTATTTTAAGAAAAATATCGCTTCCTAATGCAACAATTTGAGGAGGCGTTCACGAATTAATGTTTAAATATGTTCGCCTTAGAGTTGCTAAACTTATCAAAATATGATTATTGACAGCGAGATAGTTCAAGATTTAATCATAAGTAAACCCCAGAGCAAATTAAATTTTCAACCATTTATCAATTATTGTTCAAGTTAAATTTGACTGATAATTACTAGCTAAAAATTCGTGGCACTAAAAACTACAGCCATTTTTATTCCTATATTGCTATTAAATCTCGTTATAACGAGATACTAACTCGTTATAACGAGATAACTAACTCGTTATAAGGAGATAACTATCTCGTTATAACGAGTTAAAAAAAAAAAAATCTTATCAAAAATGAGCCTATCCAGCTTTCGTACCTTTACGCTTCCGTACCTGTTGGAGGGATTGAACTTTCATTAATTCATTCACCTATGATACCGTGGGGTTAGACAGGGTAAAAAAAACATGCATGGGGTCAAATTTTACATGGGGGATACAGGGGGGGGGGTCTTCTGAAGAAAATTGGCAGAAATTTACTTAAATAAGCTTTTTCCTTGGGTCTCTTAATTTCAGCAGTATACACACGTAATTTATTCGATACCTACGAAAGCGTATTAGTGCCATTTTCATATATTGTTATTGTGTTAGTTTTTTTCCAAACTTTAATCTGTAAAATTTACACTTAAATCTTTTTTAGTTTAGTAAAATATCCAAAAAATGAAACGGATGTGTAGACTCCATGGTATCTTTTTTTTTTTTTTTTTTTTCGAATTGTCACCATGTGGTGAGGAATGAAAATAAATTTTGTTAATTGATAAAACGTCGTCGATATTTCGGAATGTGAATTGAAGGCTACAGCAAGGGACTTCTTCTTTTCATGTACAAGATTTTGAGTAAATTCTGCCTCATTTGAATGCAAAAAATAGGTCTGCTAAACACGGGGTTTGATTATTAACCATGTGAATTCCAACAGATTGTTGGAAGATTTGATTTCCAAAAAAGCACTAGATATTTTCAATCTAACGCAAGCATATTTTAAATATAAACTTCGGAGTACTTGTGTGAACAATCAGAATGTTTCAACAAAATAATTTTGCAAATGACCAGTGACAAGGTAAGTAAATTTACAAGTTCCATTTTTATTGAAAAAGCAGCTTTTTTAACGTTTACTTTAAGAGATTTATATATGAAGGCTTAACAAAATGCAAGCAGGGCAATTGATGTCACACGGCAAATGTTAACATTATTGATTTATACCTATTTTTAAATTTTATTAGATATTGAAGATTAATTTTCAATCCGCACATTAAAAACCATATTATCAGGAATTATGTATCTTTATTTCATTCTTTTTTCCTATAGGTCTCCTTAGTTGTCATTGGTGTTGACTTTTATTATATAAATAGTGCACGTTTTTGAGGGTAACAGTTGAAATTGACACCCAAAGGAAAACCATTGTCAACCGACGCGTCAGCGGAGGTTGACAATGGTTTTCCGAGGGGTGTCAATTTCAACTGTTACCCTCAAAAACGTGCACTATTTATTTTATTATACTGAATGTCTTATTGATTTCGGATGACATAAAAAATTCGGAGATCGTCGTTGAGTTCACGCTTAGAAAGCTTTCAAACTCCCTGCTTCTATTTTTCTCAATAAGAAAGCTTCGTAAAAGATTTACCAACCTCTTTATTGTTTGTTTGCTACTCAAAAAGTTCTTTATCATCGAAAGTTTGCACTCGCAAGGATGTTTCGTCTGTCGTTTGTTGTTTTCAAGTAAGCTACATCGGACGCAAGCCTTTATTGACGTCGTTTATTCAGCTTCTTTCAAACGCACAACTGACGTTTTGAGAATTCTAC